AAATATCGCAACAGACTGAATCTCTAATTATTCGTGTTTCCATTTTTTTGCAGGTGGCAATGTAGTCCTCCTTTATGCATCCAAGTATCATGATATAGGTGCAGTAGTAAATGTCTCTGGCCGTTGTGATCTCGAAAGAGGTATCAAGGAGCGCCTGGGAAAAGATTACTTGGAAAGACTCGAGAAGGATGGATTTATAGAAGTTAAAACTAAAGCAGGTAAAACTTGCCAATTTTTTTGCTAAAGGATAATTACGGAACCTTCCCTGAGTTTTATCAAGAACCAAGTTTAAAAAATTCTTAATTAAGCCCACTTTCTTCTCTTTTGGTAGGAGATTACAAAGTTACTGAAGAGAGTATGAGGGAGCGGCTCAGTACAAGCATGCATGACGTGTGCCATTCAATTGATGTTGGGTGCAGGTAACTATCTGAATTGATTTTGCTCAAATAAAATCTGTTTCCTGTTATATTGCAATTTTATTCTTGAGAAAAACTCCAGAATCATCTTTGTTTTGACTGAATATGACTACTAAGCTATAAAATTTATTACACATAGCTGCATTTGTTGCATTTCCTGGGTCAGGTTTTTCAGGGTTTTATATTGGTGACACTAAATAAAACATTAGGTGTAAAACTATTTTGACCCAAATGTAGTGAAACTCTTGGTGATGCATGAAAATTTGGAGATGCATTTAGGTCATTCGGCTATATTTCCACTAAATTAGGAAAGTTCAATGCCCGAAATTTTTGCAGCCGTATATCAAATATATTTAATGTATGTAGTTCAATTAGTAATTAATTGGTTTTTACTCTCATATTGTTCTTTAGTCTTATATAGTTGGATCGAATTCCTTCCTCACAAGTTTTATCAAACTCGAATATGTACTTCTTATTAACTATTAAACTAACCGTCCAAATTTATGGAGTACTTCATTATTCACAAATTAGTGTGTATTACAGTAAATATGATTACAGCAAAAATAAGTTTGGTTGTGAAGATGCATATGTTTTATACAGGGTGTTCACAGTTCATGGATCATTAGATGAAATTGTGCCAGTAGGAGATGCAATAGAGTTTTCCAAGATTATACCAAATCATCAGTTGCAGATTATTGACGGGGCAGACCATCGTTTTTCTTCACATGAGCATGAATTAGCTTCAGCTGTCTTCCACTTCGTAAAGGGATGCTTCTAATGAAACGATGCCTGCAGATAGAAGGACACTTAAACTTTGCTCAACAAACATGTTAAATTATTTCAATTATCAGCTGAACATTTTATCTGTTGCTTGGAGGCACATTTTGTAACTGCCATATAATTACATCATCAAATCTCCTGTGAAATTGTTTTGACAGCTAAGATTATGACTCTTTTCAGAAAAGTATCAAATTACATTATTTATTTATTTTTTATTTTTGCAAAAACTTCACTCGTTTCAACTGTGAGATAGTTTGATATGAGGTTTACTGCAGTTACATGCATATTACGCTATCTGCCATTTGCATATACTGAGCAAAACTTCACTATTACACCCTCTCTTCTTGAAGATACGTGGTATACTATACTAAGGTAAAGTCACTAGAGTATTCACTGTCAGTTGAGGGATTATGGAATGTGATCCCTGTATGAATGCATAAACAACTTTCCTTCATATGACCATCTTCATTTTTACTTCTTTTTTCTGTAGTCTTGGAAGAAAACTGTTCATCTACTTGGGAAAAAACCCGTAAAGCGAATCTTGGTAAATTATCATCAGGGCACTTGAGAGTTGAGACTAATCCACTTATCTTCTAACTATAACAGATTTCCCCATTAAATTTTCTAATTCGCCGAATGATCGCCCTCCGGAGGAGGCACTTTTGTGAGCTAGATAAAAGTCATTAATCATTCGTTAAGAGCATCTCCAATGTGGCTTTTAACATTATAAAAATTCATCCATATCATCAACTTTTGAAAGTGTGTTACTAATTTATTCTCCAATGCATCTTGTCATGAACTCTTTCATGATGAGGTGGATAGCATTTAATGTTGACAATGTTGAACACACTTTCTAATATCTAACACCATGTTAAACATGATGACTAATCAATTCACTTTATATTTGATTTAATTTTTTATTGTTCTTGTATTAATGATTATTTTAATTGGTCCACCTATACAAATAACTTCTTATCAAATTGATGCATTGAAGATACTAGTTTGGTTCAAATTTCTACTCTTTTAACATTATACCTACATGGATTAACATTACAATCATTGATTGACATGTGTTAAAAATCATTGTCTTTCAAAACTATAACATTGGAGATGCTCTAAGACTTAAAGTTAAACAACAGCTTTTTCCTTTTATGGTAATTAGACAGAATCTTGAGTAGATTTTATAAATGACACATAATAGACAACATTAAAATACGGTGGTGGCAACTACTAGAATTAGAATGAGATGTCTAAGAGAGTTTAACTTCTCACCAGCTCCACATTTTCATTGTCATTGAAGTCACTCAGTACCATTTCTTGAATCCAGATTCCCGGTACTGTCGTTGTTTGCAGCCATCATTGCATCTTCCTAAAAATTAATCACCAAAAATTACTTCGTTTAGTAAAAATGTTAGGGATCATAGTAATTTTGGTAAAAAGTAGCCCTTTTTTCGCAATTAAAGTTCAACCCCAAGTTAGTGCCTGCATTCGTATCATACTAGTTCCTTCTTCAGCTTTTCAATGTTTTCCTCGAGTTCCAAAACATGGTGCTTTAGCGCCTGCAGAAATTGAAAGACATTTCTTCACATGTTTAAGTTGATATTATTAAAAAACTAAAGGCTCTTTCTTTAAGTCAATTTTGACGGGACGCAAAATATCACCTCACGTCTCTGAAGTTCGATAGAACGGGCTAATGCCTGCCTTCTCGTAAGAAGATTCTTCGGCCTAAACGCAAGTGGCCGCTGGTAATTCTTCCCACGGTAGACTATTATAACATGGCCTTTGTGAGTTTTTTCCACACACACCAAAACCCCACCACTCTCCGCCTCGAGTGAGATAGCTATATGCTTCACTTGTGAAAGTGTTTTTCTTTCCACCATTATTTTCACCAGCTCCCGATACTTCCAGTGCAAGTGCATATTCTCTATAGTACCATCAAATATCTCTCTCCTCCCTTAGATCGAAATAAAGAAAAATGAGACGCTCCATTTATTTTAAATAAGCCAAAAATATGTATATATATATATATATGTATGTTTTGCTATATTTGCTTTCCTTTACCTAAATGCAGATATGGTTTCATGCTCAACCCAATCTTCCGGAACAGAAATCTTTCCTCGTCAGTCAACGTCTCGAGATCAGTAGGCAGATCCTCCGGTTCTTGATTCTCCAGAACTTTCTGCAAAACCCTCTCGGCCTTTCTAATCTTTTCCTTCGCCTGTCATAATTGTAATTTAAACCAGCTGTGAAGTGAAACACTAGACAAAACCTCAAAACAGCAGAATCTCATTAAACCCGATTAAAAACACTTACAAGCGCCAGTTTCTTCTCAAGAGAGTTGACCAGCGAGGCACGCCTTGCGACAGCTGTATCTCTTTTCATTTTCTCGAGTTCAGCAATGTCGGGTTCGTTTCCCCAACGTGAGGTCGCAGCTTTTGTCTCGCTGAGGGTGCCCGCAACTAACCGCTGCCCAGATTCTCTTGTTGGGTCAATCAGTGATGAGGCCTTTTCCCGGGCTTGCTCTTCCTCGTCCTGCTGAAGAGCAGCGGCTTTTTCGGCCTCGACAAGCGCGCTCGAGACGCGTGGAGGCAGGAAGTCGTTGCCTCTGTAGAACACTATAAATTCTTTGTTTCTCGAAACTAAAGTCCCGCCGGTTAATATCTGCAGTAATATAACCAAATTGATGGCTTTGCCTTTCTTTGTTTTGTGATTGATTTGTCTACAGCGCCAAGAAATTAGTGGGGAAAGACTTTTATTTTAATTTCTAGCTTCTTTTTAATTCAGTGGTACCATCTTTTTCAAATTCGATCAATTTAACACATATTATCTATTTATTCCTAACCTTGAGTTGTTCGGCCATCCTTTCATTTGACGTATTCAGAACACCACGCTTGATGGCTATTTTCGCAATAGCACTATTTTCCCATAACTTTACCATGGCCATAGCCAGACCCTGTAGCTCTCTATTTCTTCCTAAAGTCATAACAGCATAATCAACCATTAGTAAAAACAAAAAAGAATATATGCATAAATATATAAATTAAAGTGAATACTATGAGAATATGCAAAATACACCATCGAACATACCAAGGGCAAAATGGGGAGGTACCATCCTTGCTGTCCTTCGCAAAAAAGTCATCTCTTTATCTCGCAAAGCATGTCTAACCCCATGAGGCAGAAGTCTAAACGGAGTCTTATATTCAGGAACTACAGTAGGCAATAAATCGGCATCTACAGGAATTGGTTCACGACCCGACCAATCCACGAACCTCGGGCCAAGCTCATCCAACATGCGGTTGAGCTCGTATAAATCCATTTGCTCTTGTTTAGATAGATTGTTAACATAACTCAAGTTACATATTCCAGATGATTTTGCAGCTCCATTTATACGTCCTGCTTTGTTGCTTTCAGGAAAATCTTCCCCAGCAGAACTTAATTCCCGATTATCAGCTTGAGCACGCTCACCATACGATTTTACACAATCGAGCTTGTAGGATGACCCTCTGTATAACACTACTAAACCTCCCGATCTATATATCACTAAACCTCCAGTTCTACTCTGGCACACAACAGACAACACACACACACAACATAATATAAGAAATATTCAACTAGTGATTCACATGATTAGCCAACAAAATTCCATAAACTCGACAAAATCTTCAATAACATACAATAAATAATATACTATCCACTCTGATATGCACAACGAAAATTGATTTCTCCTTAATAAAAAAAAAAAGAAAAACGAATATAATGTGGGACTTACCTCAAGAAATTCATGAGTTCGCTTCATGTTCTTCGAGGGAGGCCCTTCAAACTTCAACTTCACAACCTCCTCATGCTTCCACTTCTCTTTGATGGTGTCCACCAAAGTCTGAGTCACGCCGGCTGAACCGACTTTCATATGCTCGGCCATTCTTAATGACAAGTTCCTTAGTCTCTTTAGCTCATGCTCGGGAATGACCCTCTCAGCCAACACCGTATTCCTATTTCTCAACTTGTCCTCCTTTACTCGCTCCCCCTCATTTTTCCTCTCCCATGGCAATCGCTCTAATTTGTTTGTGCTATAAGAACCCTCCACCCTAGTAGCATTTTCCCTCACCTTAGCATCAAAGATCACATTTTTCTTCTGCGAACAAATTGGGTTTTCGTTATAATCACTCCCTCGACTGCCATCATTCCGCAAACTCTCAGAGCCTTGAACAACTCTATCTGAAGGTTCTTGAGACACTTTTTTTCTCGATTCTTTTCCGTGGGCCCAAGGAGCCGAGGTCGACTTGATTCTCGTGCGGGGGTTTACTGGCAGCTCATTTACAGAACTAATGTTTCTACTTTCTCTGCCGGAAGATGAAATATCGGAGGGCGAAAGTGAGGTCGGCGGCGGCTGAGATTCTCGACTCGCATCGTTGATTTCCTGTTGCTGCCATGGGAAAGTTTGTCTCAAAGAAGGGGTCTTTACGGACCATTTGCTCTGAACTTGCTCCATGAAGCTTGGCCTGGGCTTGGGTTTCTTTTTCGCTGAATTGGTCTTCACATCGAGTTCGAATGTTTGCTGACAGCAAATAATTTTGAGCTTTTTATGTCTGAAGCATTTGAGAGGATGCGTTTGCAGGTGAAAACTGAGAAGGAAGAGAGACGATGGCGGAGGGCTCACTCTTGGCGAAGGATTTAGGAAATTCGAAGGAATCGGAGAGAAGGCCATCATAGCCTTGAGGTTTATGGAGGATTGGGAAGAATCTCTATGAGTGGCCTTATCAAAGACATTCAATATTCAGAAACAAAAAAGAAATTAACATCCCAAATATTTGAGCTTTTTAAGTTTATCATATAATATATTTTTCCATAGTTTTTTTTTTTTAATCGCTAATTTACATGTTTTCACATAGTATTTAACTATTTATTAAAACATAAATAACAATATGATAAATTAACATTTGTGTGAACTTGTAAAGTTAACAAATTCATTTAATAGGAAAATAGGTCACAAGTGAGAATGATACTTAGTGAAAGAAATAAGAATAAATCATAGTCATTAAATAAAATGATAGAACGGATAAAAAAATAAGGTCAAAATCATATACTCATTAAGGGTAATTTTAATCAACCCACTCACCAGTTGGTCCAATTCCACATCACCACTCACCCACATAAAACACAAGCCATATGCACTCTCACTACACGCACACACACATCAGCCACACACACAACACACGCTGACACACACAAACACACATAAACAGACACACACACACACACACTCTCACACCCACTGACACACACCATCGCCACGTCTGCCGCCCTTCCCACCGGAGATTGCTCCGCCGCCAACATCGAGTATCCATTCACCGCTGGATTCGCCACCCACGACGGCGGCGGCGAGAACATGGACTGAACAAGTCGTCACCCACGACGGTGACCGGGAGATCATGGACTGACTGAGCCGAGCCGGAGTCGTCAGGGACATGGCGGATCGCGGTCGCTGCGAGATGGCTTGCACGTATGTGTGCGTCGAGGCAGGATGAAAACGACACAACTAGTGTCGTCGGAGATGGCAAAATCGGATGGTAGCGGTGCAGCGCCGCAACATTCCGATTTCTGGTGCCGACAATGGCGAGTTCAGACGGCTGCTGTGCTGAGATGTTGAATCGGACGACATGATGACAATGTTGTTGCTGTGAGAATTGTGGGCCTTTTTTTAAAAAAAATTAGACAATAATCAAGGACTTATATGCAATTTTAGGAATTTTTAGGCATATTACAATTTAGTTCATTGGGGCAAATCTATAATTTATTAAAATTTATTAAATACACAATAATTATGAATAAAAATCACACGGTTCTTATGGGTAGGCAAATTGAAAATACACATAAATAATTATGTACATTCATACATATAATTTATTAATATGACTTTATAAAAAATAAAAAATAATATTTTTTATACATATATAAATATTAAAATAATAAATAAAATATTAAATAAAAAATAATGTAAATATCAAAATAATATAAAATAATAAATAAAAATAGTGAATTAATACTTAATTTTTTTATAATATAAGTAATAATTTATTTCGATTGTTTAGGTCAATTCGGTTAACCAATCGAATTAACATAAAAAAAACTCACACTCATATTGAACAATATTGTTAATCAAGATGCACATTAGTGACTATTATACTATATAATAGTGTTATACCAAATGCACACTAACACATATGAGAACGCACACCTACATTAGGTAAAACTGCATTAGTGACTATTACACATACATCTGATAGTTTGGTGTAAAATTGCAAAGAATGCATGGCGAGTCTTGGAGTGTGAGTTTGAAGGTTCAAAGGCAGTACAAGCGTCCAGATTTCAACGAGTGACCATATCGTTTGATGACATCAAAATGAAGGAGGACGAAACTATTGATATGTATTATATATGCCAGGTTTTGTGATTAATTTGGTGAATCAAAGTGAAATGCTAGGAATGAGATCTCCGAAACTTGTCAAGTTCAAAAGATTATGAGGACATACTCTGTTCTTAGAAAAGATCACAACTCTTTAAGAGTCAAGCCACTGGACCTTGATGACCTCTTTGGTGTGAATGTTTGGAATCAACAATGACTACGACAAAATCAAGAACAAAGGACTTGCTCTTAAAGCAATTGTGACATCGCAATAAAAAAAACAAAATCTACTAGTAATTTTGAAAATTCATGAAAACGACGAATAGTGAAATCACATGAAAATACAATAATAAATAGGAACCGTTGGTCTGTAACACAAGCCCAATATAATTTTTAATCATGAACATAACACTCATAACACTGAGATATATAAAATATGTTATACAGTTAAGTAAAAAAAGTTATTGTTCCGATACGATACTTCATACTTATTGCGTTACTTTAACTTGAGGAGCAGTGGCAAGCTATAAGTAAAACGTTGAATATATCAAACATAAACTAATTGAAAATCTTCTGGCCTGGCGCCAGTATCTTCTTTGGATCAAACAACTTTTTCCTCTTCATAAACGTATCCCATTTGACGAGGCCAAAATGGTTTATCCAGTCTTCCTGTGTCGTGTAGTGAGGAAGATATTGTTTGATCTTAATGTCCCACTTTTTACAAACATCAAGAATTTCATTGTTGAAATCATCAATGCTTTGATATGCATCTTTCGGGGTCGAATGTAAAAGTCCCAGGCCGTAGAAAATGTCCTCGTCGGGTGTTACTGCAGACATACTATCATTCCATCTGCACAAATGTTTTGCGAGTAATTACAAATTATCGCCAATCAAATAATTAGTTAATTAAAGTTTAACTTAAATATTTATTAATACTTGAGTGAAAAAAAAAAATAAAAAAATTCTTACTTCATTTTGTTTAGTGGGTATAAATTGAAGAGCCCTAGTGACTGGTTGAGCCTAGGAAGCATGCCGGCCAAAACAAGTGTATTGAACTTGACAATGTCGGATTTTTGTATGAAGAGAATAAGGAATGGATGAGATAGCTGCTGTGATCCCATTTGTGGATTATCCACGTTTCCAGCTCTGTGTAGAAAATCAAACAATGACACATCTTTACTGAAATTGAGTCCAGGGATGAAGTTCAACTCCTTGAGCAATGTCTCAAATTTCTGAAAAAAAAAAAAAAAGAAAAAAGAAAAACAAAAGTTAAAATTAAATTATCAATTTTTAATCTTTTTTTTTTTTGCAAATTACAAATGCATATATAGTATTATTATTATTATTATTATTATTTTTTTCATAAATAAAATACCTGATCAATAGTATTATTAGAATCAGTTTGATTGTCATAATACACTGCCAACTCTATTGAATAAAGGACGCTTTGACTGGTCAACAAGTCAACAATCCGTGACTGATCAGATTGTGATATTGAGAAGCCGGGCTTCCATGGATCGATTTGAATCGCATTCACNATGAATTTTACCTTCGCGCTTGAAGGTTTATACATAATCGGTACTAGTTAATAATATTTATAAAATGATGTACTGTTTTCTTTGATATATATATATATATATACACACGTACATTAGTTGGTGCTTTGTCTAGGACGATTCTTGCTTTGGTGATGATGCCGAACTGGCCAAGACCACCCAAAACCGCGTGAAATAGCTCGGGGTTTTCGTTTGGTGAACAAGTGAGGTTTTCTCCTTTACCTGAAAAAAAAAAAAGAAAATAAAAAAAGAACAGCTTTATGAACACTTGTAATGAACGTGATATTTGGTAACCAAAATTGAAGCTGAATAGGCTCTGATTTTCTTTTTTTGTTGGGTTTATGAAACTTTTCTTTAGGATGTTTAAGACTTTCAATATGTGGATACTCATGGATTGTTAGGGCTTGCAAGAACTCAATGAATGCACTAACTTGTATCAGAGGTTAGAAACATTATTTTATGTGTATTATTTTGGAGTATGGATTAGTTTTATTGCTTTCACCTGTTGTTTAGTTTTACCAAAAGAATATAGGAAATACTACAATACCATAATGAGAACTTATTTCGGAATTTGTTAGTGAATAACTCATTTCGCATAACAATGAGTCGATTCATAAATTTTAAGAGGATTAATATGTCAACTATTTTTTTTTCATTTATTCTTCTTGATATTAGTTATTATGTTACGTTTATTAACTTTTCATTCAAACATAATATTATAACTACAAGTATGTAAAAGTCTCAATAGATTTTAAAAAGTCCAATAGGAAAGTCTTAAAACGTCACTAATGAGAATTCTCTGAAAGTTTCAAAAAATCCACCAAAATCATGAAAGTTTTACAAAGTCCACAAAAGTTCCCAAATTAAAAAATTTTAAAAAATCCTTAAGAATCTCAATTGAATACAACCTCCTACATCTAAGGGCCATATCAAAACTAAAAAATCTTATGGCTTATATTAAATTGATTTTTAAATTGAAAAATTTATTAATAGATATTGGAATAGAATTGGATTGAAATCATTTCCAATTTAAGGAAAAAAAAGGAAAGAAACGCGCAAAATCTACTTAAAGGATGACACAAATGTAAGAAAATTACTTCGGGATTGAAATATTTGTATTGTAAAGTCAGACGGATTCAATTTTTCTCAAGTCATCATTTTGAGTCAAAAAAGACAATTTTTAACAATGATGTGATAATATTCTTTTTATTATTTTTTTATGCTTTTATCACTATCTATATGTATATAATTGTTAGCAATTCATTAAATAAAACCTCATAAATTTTATCTCATAACTCATAAATTTTATCTCATAAATTATACATACATGGCACTTAACTTTCCTAAAACTGATTATGTTAATTAAGACAAAAAAATTACATTTTTCACAAAGTTTGATTTAATATCCATATTGCCTTTATAAGATAAATATAAAATAAATAAACAATGATGTATTGAGAGACTTGAAAACTTTGGTAATTACCTGTAATAACCTGAAGTTGATGAACATTGACAATTTGTGGGCCGTGCAAGAACGCCTGCCCGCCAATCCCCGCATTCGAGAGTGTCCCCCCTACGCTCAGGTACAGATAATCGGTCCACGAGATGGGCGCCAGCCCATGTTTGAGCGTTGCCCGCAGCACGTCAACCCACAACTGCTCTGTCCCAACATCCGCATAAAACCCGGACGACTCATTCCAACCAATCACTATCCTATCACTAGTCTTATTCTCACCGAGCGTGGTCATGTTGACCACTACGCCGCCCGAGGTCAGGGCCTGCCCCCTGACCGAGTGCCCGTGCCCTCGGGCAGCGATGGTCGAGGATGATGATGTTGCCATGACAAGGTCGATGATGTCAGCGTCTGACGAAGGGTAGAGTACGAAAGTTGGGGTTTCGTACACCATGTTTCCATAGTCACTAGAGGCTATTGCGATTGACGAGGAGTCGTTACGGAACTTGCATTCGGCGGAAATTACGGAGATGATGACGATGATGGAGAGTAAGAACACAAACATGTGTAGAGGGTTACAATAATATTGGGGGATAGCCATGGATGATTAATTGGAGAGATATTTAATTTGTGAGTAGTGATTATTTTGGGATGTTATGAGGGGTTATATATAGCTACAATATTGGTACTCTTGGATTAGCAAATTAAGTATGCACATTGGAATTTAGGAAAGAGATTGAAACTTTGACTGATCAAGGTGAATAGATGTTGTTGATAATAAGGCATGCGCTTGTTTTATTTCCAAATAATAATCACGATCAGATTTTGGCGTGGGATTTTATGATGTAGTTAAGTCTTTACGCTTATTTAAGAATGGTAAACGCAATTGCATTGCATGTTCACAACCATCATTGATCATCCTACTTTTCAACGAAACGAATGTGATAGATATACTCAATCGCTATTCACCGCCCCCCTTTTACTAGTCACCGCCCCCCCCATTTACTCTTTTGCCCTTAACCCTTTTTT